TGCAAAGTAGGATTCAAATACAGGTCTATTGATTTCAAGTACACTAACTATGAAATTCAATGTTTTGATGACTAAATCTGGAAGAAGAGAATCACAAATTTTGACAAGTGTCCTACCATTTCTTACTCTTCATATTTGTAACAAGCTAATTCCTACTTTGACATGTGGAGTTCCTGAAGACTCCTCTTGGCCAAGACACTTTATTATCAGTTAGTTAAATCCCAGGCTCTATATCTAGGTCAAATAGGGAAGAAGTAATTTAATTCCCAATAGGTTGCATCTCAGAAAGAGGAACTGTCTTAATTGCAGCTACATGGATAGGGCCAACAAGATAGCAGAACTGTTGGTTCAAGAATCTCATGACTCCCAGGTTCTCAAAACCCTACTTCACAACAGTTTTCCTCATGCACCTATCATTGAAACCCAAGTCTGAAAAGGGGTCCTGTTTAATGTGCCAAGGTTAGTCTATCGCAAATCTAGTGACAATAAATGGTAGAAGATAGGAATGTCTGTGTTGTAGCTCTAGCCACTACTTCTTTTTATCCTTATGCTAATATAATACCACATTACAGATAACTTATTATATCATTAGAACAATCCGATTGCTTAGGTAGGGAAAGATGCTCCTGCTGAATTTTACCTAGGACAAAACTGAGATTCAAAAACGTTAAGGGATGGCCAAGACAATAAGGACAGTAATGAATTTGGAATGAATCCCAATATTCTTTCCATTTCACTAGAACTACCTAATGACAAAAAAGTAAAGGTTATTTGAGAACACAGAGGACTTTATTATGTCATGATTTCCTTAATAATATTCTACAACACCAATAAATAAGTGAATAAATAAATAAATGGTATCCTACAACACAAATAAATAAATAGTTGAAGATATTGACTCTAAGTAGTCCCCTTAATTGTTGCTGCTTTTTTGCTTTCTTCTCTTTGATAGTTAGAACTAAAAGTGGCTTATTCTGTCTAGATCTTATGACCACAAATACACACAAGAGAATAGAGAATGAATGCATCTACTGTTGACCCTGTGACTCAGGCATCACTGCCAATCCTCTCCAGAATCTGTGTCTCCAACACATTGGGCAGCTTGCAACATGGCCCAGCATACGAGGCCTACTCAGAGACACATACACAACAAAGAGGAACGCAAGAAACACAGAGAAGGCCATCCAGAAACAAGAAACCACAAAGCTGTAACACTTAGTCAAACAGAAGTCTCATTTGATTGTCTCTCTCTTATCTTCCTTCAAGGATAATTAGCTTGAGAGTTGTACTAGGGTGAGCCAGCCTAGAAGCCAGGCCCTTCTGCTTGTTTTTATCTGTTGGCTGCAAGCAGCTCCACAAAAGCCCCTATATTAATGGTACCAGCAATGGATGCTGTTTTCCGGACCCTACAACTAGCTCACTTATCCTGCCCTTCTTGCTTTGATATCATTTATCTTAATTTCTTCAAAAAATGTTTATAGGCTACATCAAGAAAGTCAGATTTTTACACCAAATTACTATTAATTCTCATGCTCTGAAATATATCTACATTATATAGATTATATATGGATTATTATATATTAATATATTATTATAACTATTATATTTATATATAATCTACACATTAATATGTAATTATATGTTTAATAATATATACTTATATATAACTTATATATTAATATATGGTTATATATTAACATATTATAACTATTACATATAGATATATATATAACATGTATATATATATATATATACACATGTAGACACGTATCTTTGAAGGAATACAAAATACTATTAGAAAAATCTATATGTGAAATAAAAATATACTACTAAAAAGTACCTATAACATCACACCTTTAATTCAGCTTTAGCTCATTTATCCCATTCCCTGCATATATCATTAGTATGCCCCTAATCTTCCCATTTCCTGTCTTTTCCTTACTTACACATCAAGTAAACTATGCCTACCTAAGGAAGTTGTGGTCATTTTGTCAACTCAGAAAATCTTTACCAGTTCTTTATGTAGCTTTCTGAGATGAACAAATTAAAGGCAGTCTTCAAAGGTTTGGCTTATATTTGCTGACCAGAATTTGAAAATATTTTAATCGATTACAACTCACTAGTGAATCACTGATACAGTTTTGTATTGTATTTTTCTTTTTATTATTCAGTACCTAGAAACAGCAATGTCAATAACCACATCTGGATGGTCTGCTTTAAATTTTCATAGATTATAAACTATAAACAACATCCTTTAATGCTTCATGCAATGAAAACTTTGTATGGATATAAACACGAAGACATAAACTTTTAATTAGTCTCATGTTGTTTTATCTAAGTTCTTTTTCTCAGGGGGGAACATACGCAGCTTTTAATCTCTAGGATTTATAGTACAGCAAATGCTACAACTAAAGATTGCACAAACATCAATGAAATAAGCAGATAGATATATTCTATCAGTATTCTCTTTTCTTGTAAAGCAAACAGTTCCTTTACATCTTAATTAAAAATACAAATATAAGGCACCCAAAAGTATTAACCTCCTAAAAAAGGATTTTATTTTAGGCAAAGATCATTAAGAATATTTATGGAATGTCCTATCCTTTTACTCTTAGGCTAAGTGCCATAAAAATGAGTTAAAGTGGTCACTGCCAACTCCAATCTTAGGTCAATTTAAGTAAATTTTAAATAGCATGAAATGCCTAACAATTACCCAGAAATGGGCTAGCTACTCAGGATGAATCAGAATGACTAGAAAACACAGCCATATCTTGATATTTTGTCTTTCTCTTCTCCACTTTGCCAACAGTGAGAACGGAAGCAGATGCCATAAACAAGAAACTTGGAAGGGAAAACTTGGCCTTGCCTCTGAAAAGAGACAGTTAAAGCTAGATCCTGCCGGACAGAATTCAAATCAACCCAATTCAATAAGCATTTATTAAGTACTTTTAGTTGCCAGGAACTATGGGGATATAAAGGCAAAAATGAAAGTCCTTCCCCTCAAGGAACTTGTATTCTACAAGTGGAGGAGGGGGGAACACTGATAAATTCAAAATAGATACAAAATAATTATGAAGCAATTTGGGGTGGAGGCTCTCAATCAACAAAGGTCTCTTACAGGAAATGGCACTTGAACTAAACCTTGAAAGGAAGTCAAATTTCTAAGAGACAGAGGTGTTGAGGTAGAGCATTCTAGACATAGGGCTTTAATCTACGTGAAAGCGTGGAGGAAAGAAACATGATTTCATATCTGTAACATGAAATGGGTCAGTCTGGTTGAAACATAGAACTCATGATAGAGAATAATGTGAAATCGGTTTGGAAACATAAATAATTCTGGACTATTTTGAATGTCAGGCTAAGGAATAAAGAGCAACTTACTTCTAAAAATAAGGACATAGTCCCTTTATCCTCTGCCCTCATCAGACCTCACTTGGAGTATTGAGTTAATTTCTGGGCCCCACCATCTAAAAAGGACATTAGGAGATTAACAGAAAAGGACAATCAGGATTACGAAGAACCTTGAGTCCATGTCAAAAGAGGAATAGTTTAGAAAATTAGGAATGTTGGCCAAAGAAGAGAAAATTGTGTCCATGATAGTAGCGTTCAAGCATATTACAGGACCTCATCTAGAAGAGAGATTATATTTATTTATGTTTGGCCCAAAGAGGCCGACCTAGGAGCAACAGGTACAAGTAGCTAAGAGAACCATTTAGGCTTCAGCTGTCCTGAAATTCCTTCTGACAGAGCAATCCCAAATGGTTGTCTCAGGGTGTGGTGAGTTCTTCATCCTTCCAGAGGACGTTGGATGGCCACTCATTGGGTATGTGATTGCAGGGATTCCTTTTGGACATAAATTGAGCTAGATAGCTAATGAGGTCTCTAAAACAACTCTAAAATTATATCACTCTATGATTCTGAGTATGTATTTTATCTTAGAAGCAACAACAGAGTCATAGAAAATTTTTGAGCAAAGAAATGACAAGTTCAGAGCTGTGTTTTAAAAGCATGGATTTCACAAAGATGGCCCCAAGGTTGTGAACCTAAATGATTAGAAAGATGGATGAAAGAGTAAAGTGTAAAGGAGGGGCAAGCTGACAGCAGGGGGTAGGGAGGAAAAGGGCGTATTCTGTTTTAAACCTAAAGAGTATAGAGACACCGATGGTGTCTTTCAGTGTTTTGTTTTGTTTTAAGGCAAACAGGGTTAAGTGACTTGCCCAGAGTCATACAGCTAGTAAGGGTCTGAGGCCAGATTTGATCTCAGGTCCTCCTGACTCCAGGGTCAGCACTCTATCCACTGTACCACCTAGATGCCGCTTAGTAGTGATTTTTAGCAAGTAGTTCAAGACAGAGACTAGATACAGGTCTACAGATGTAGATGGAGAGTTGAACAAAACTGAAACATGACTAAACAACAATTACTATATTACAACTACTGCAACAACTACTAATACTATGAGTACTGCAACTACTACTACTAATAGTAATAATAATAACAATATTGCTACCACTACATGAACAATTCGGAGAAATTTGGCAAGACCTGTATAGCTGTTACAGAACAAAAGAGCAGAACCAAGAAAACAATACACACAATTATTACAATAATGAAGAGCACAAAAGGAAAGTCAATCTCAGATTCATTGTAATCACTCATTTCAGTTCTAGATGAGGTATGGTAAAACATATTTCCCTTGGCTTATGAAACAATGTAGAGACTAGGCATGTGGAAAGTTATACATTATGTCAGATATGGTCATTTTGTCAGGCAGATTTACATAACTGTTTTTCTTTGTTACAAGGGAAGATTTGAGTGTGAGTGAGGGGTTGACAATAATAAATTATTATTAAAATGGCATCAATAAAACATTAAATATATTCACACATTTATGTATAAGGATGTTATACATTATTTTCATATGTAATATAAATATATAATATGTTGTCTTACACATAATATATTTTTTTATTTTGGAAATTATACAAGTATACACTTTTACCTGGGGTCTTGATGGGTTAAAAGCCACACTGATCACTGTTTCTGTGTGTCCCGTCAATTTGTGGGAAAAGGTACTTGAGCCCATCTCATATATATAAGCCTAAAAGATACAATGAAAATTTCATGGAAAAATCAACATAATCTCACTCAACACCATTTTCACTTACATAAAATTAGTTTCCTAGAATGCTATTAAAATATCAGCCCCAGTGCTTAACCTGACAAACAGTAAGTGCTTAATGACAATAGTTCAATGTTCATATAAAAGATAGTTTTAAAGTATTTAGATTTAATTATATGAGTATGGTTTTCCCTCTAGGAAGGATCAAACTACTCACACTAGTACTCCCTCCACTAACTCCTCATCTTCCCTTTCCATGGTGTCCTTTGGAACACATGTTAAAAAGACCTTTAACAATCTTCCTAATCTCTTCCTCCTTCACGTAACTGAAAACTGGCTTTTGCCCAAGGACTCCATATCTCTACCAACAGTCTCTAATGATGACTACTCATTTCTCAAATCTTTCCAACCCCCATCCAACAATCACCTCTGGCTCACAGAGCCTCAAGTATCATTGCCACATAAATTTCTCCTCTTGCTCCCCTTTGCAACTCCTCAATTACTTTTAAGTTCATGCCATCTAACTATACCCTCTCCCTACCACTGTCACTTCTTCTTGTTTCTGTTGTTGTTGGTTATGCAGTCATGTCCAACTCTTTATGACCCATGAAGCACAGTATACAAGGCCCTTCCATCCTCCACTATCTCCCCAAGTCTGTCTAAGCTCATGCTCATTGCTTTCATGACACTATGTACCCATCTCATCTTCTGCCCTCCCCTTTTCTTTTTGCCTTCAATCTTTCCCAATATCAAGGTATTTTCCAATGAGTCCCATGTTTTCATTATGCAGCCAAAGTATTTAAGTTTCAGCTTCATTATTTGACCCTTCAATAAATAGTCTGAATTAATTTCTTTAAGCATTGACTGATTTGATTTCCTTGCTTTCCAAAGGACTCTCAAAAGTCTTCTCTAGCACCACAGTCTGAAAGCATCAGATCTGTGGCGCTCAGGTTTCCTTATAGTCCAATTCTCACAACCATACATTGCTACTGGAAAAGCCATAGCTTTGTCTATACAAATTGTCGACAAGTTGATATCTCTACTTTTTAGTATGTTGTCCCAATATGCTACCGCTTTCCTTCCAAGGAGCATCTTTTAATCACTGCCATCTACCAAATCACTTTCCGATTTTACTCTATGACTTCAGCACCTCATTTGCAGTATTCCTTCCCCACCAACATACTGAAAGATTATACCAAAGGCTCTTATGGCAGTATTTCATAACAGGTTCTTGAATTCATCCATTTTTTAACACCTACCTCTAATCTACTTCCGATAAACACTGGAGTGGTCATATCCAGATCCAACCAAACTGCTCTACTCCAAAATTCTGATACCTGAAATTCTGTCTCCTTTACTTCTACCTTTTCCAATATCTTGCACCTTCCTGTATTTATGCTTTGTAATAAGTATGAACTATCCCTTACTTATTACTCTCCCAATCCATCACTCCTCTTTTGGCCTCAATTTCCTCCCTACCCAGGCTTAACCCTGTGGCTAGCTACTTCAATAAAACCACCTATTCTAGCATGGCATAAAGCATTTCAACCTAGAGGGGAGGTCTCCAGGTCCTGCATTACTAAGGATGATTGGAATCATGGGATAGCTTCTAATGACCCCAGTCAAGCATGTATTGGCAGTAGGAGAGATATGGTAAGCTATGGAATGTAGCCTTGTGGTGAGGATAGAATTTCAAGGAAGAAATTGCTAGGCTCTGGAGCAAATTTAATTACAAGCCACATGGGAACAAGGGACTGCTACTGACCAGCAGGCCTGTCACGTAGGCACCTAGAACACAAAGGTATCTTTGTTTCAAGAAAAACAATAGCCTTTGAAAGAATGACAGTTCCACAAGGAGATATTTTTTTTAATCTGGTTTTTGGGTGACCACAGCTTTTTCAGAACTGACAAATACTCCACTCTATGTGGGCTGCACTTGCCAGGCCTAGAGCATTGTCTCCATGGAGAGAAGAACAGAAGATCTAGATGCTCATAAGGATCAGAATCCAATCCAGAACTATCAGCATATATCTTTGCCCTATGTTTGACAACTGTATCTTTAAATGACAAGTAAACATTTTCCTACTTCTTACTTATATCAAGTTAGTCATTTGTGGTATTCTAATACCTGGGTTTAGTAACTCTTCTAAAATACAAATATTCCATTACAACACGACACACGTGCCATCAGCTTTGCGAAGATGACAAAAGCCGAAAATAGAAAATGTTAGAATGGTTGTTGGAAAACAGGTATGCTAAAGCACTGTTGGTAGAGCTATGCATTGGTCTAACTCCTCTGGAAAACAATGAGGATTATAATAGAAAATCCACTGAAGCATGCATATACTTTTATACTACGACTCTCAGCCTATATTCCAAAAAGGTCAAAGCCAGGAGAAGAAACCACAAATAGAAAAACATTTATAGTGGCACTTTTTGTGACAGCAAAGAAATGAGAAACCAAATAGTTGCCCAGAGATTAGGGAATTGCAGAGCAAACTGAGGTCTGTGAATGCAATGGAATATAATTGTGCTACAATAAGTGACAAATATGAAGAATTCAGGGGAACCTGGGAACACTTGTATGAATCAATGAGGTAAATGGAACCTAGAGAACCAATTTGCAACCACAATAAAGTGAAGGAAAAACACAAAAAGATGTCAGAAATCTTATCAATGAATTAAAAAGTTTTGATTTCATAGAATTGATGTTGAAGCATGACTCCCCTCCTCCCAGCAGAGAGGTAAATCCTTCTAGGTGTGGAATGAGGTGGCTGTTCTTCCTTTGTTCTTGAAGAAGACCATGTGCATGAGTTGGATCTGAGTGAGGCAGAGCTATGCAAAACCATCGACTTCACTCTCTCCTCCAGACATTGGCATCCAGCAGGAAGATCAAAGTCAAGATGACTGGCAATGGCCCAGGATGCAATGGGTGATCTTGGCCTTTTTAATTTAAGGTCTTTCCCAGGTCTCAGTTTGTCTGAGGCCACGCCCATCCAATGATTAAGGGACACATAAGAACTGAGACAAAAGATGGCCTGATTTACCATCCCAAAGATATCCATGAGGGTGGGGAAGACCCTCAGAGTTTCTGGCCACAAAAGAAAACAATTGCTATTTACACTCAGAATGAGGTATATGTTGTCAGACATGAGTAATGTGTTGGTTTTATTTTTGCCTTTTTTTTCAAAGGAGGTTTCTCTTAGAATAAAGATAGAAGATTTGGAGAGTGTTCATAATATTAAATAGGCAGATAGATAGATAAACAGATAGAAAGATAGAAAAATAGAAAGATAGACAGATAGGTAGACAGATAGATAGATAGATAATACCTTTTAATAAATCATTTATCTTTCAAAAACCCAGTCAAAAGGAAAACCTTAGGGGTTTTGATAGCTTCCTGGCTAAGTATGCTTGTCATAGCCCTTAAGCTATGAACTGTAGCTATAAAGACTCAAAGAACTTGCCCCTCCCTTGCAAAGGAAAAGATCACTAACAGTTGTGCCCCAGCAGATAGTAGCAATGATCTAAGGATGGTCTGAAAAGGTAGAACAGATGAAAAATAGCCAATGGTATCAAAGGGCAACTCAGTGAATACCAAAGCTACAAATAAATAGAAGTACCCAGAGAATATGATATAAAAAACAGCAGAGATGCAATATCTAGCAAAGACCTACACAGAGCACACTGCTGACATGACCAGAGGACATCAAGGGCTCTGAAACATCCAATGTGGGGGTTGCTAGCCATATGCATGCCCTCAATGAGTGTGACCAAGTTAAAACATGTTCCAAGTATCCCTTTCATACTCTCTGATCATATGCGATCTCTGCATATGTACAATCCTCCCATTGGTAGCATGGCAACCTTGGAAGAATGTACCCCTGTGGAACATATTTTCTTGTCACTTAATTTGCTATGGTATTTGATTAATAGCACAGTTATTAATCATTAAAAACCTTTTAAATTTAATCCTAACTAATCATTAAAAGCTTTTTGTTTTGTACCAATTGACCCTTCTGAGTATTCTAGTAAATACCTACCTAGGTCCTGACCCACAGAATGCTTCAAATCCAATCTAGCTTTCTAGGGCCTATATCTGAGGGGATCCTGGGCACTAGTTACATAAATTAATATATTTAGCTAAAAAATATCACTGCATTAGCAAACACTGTTGTTGTATTTCATGTAGTTTTATAAAGAAAGGTTTAAAATATAAAAATTAGAAAATATTTAAATATATGTTTACAACATTCATACAAGAAATGCTCTTGCTTGCTTCAATTAAACTGATATAAAAAAGGTTAAAACCAAAATCCTTCTTGGGGTGGTGGAATTAGCCATTTATTCATAAAGTTAACAAAGTCAATCTGTGGGGCCTATGCTGAAAAATGAAGGTCAGAATGTAATTAACATTTCCTCTCAGTACTAAACTCATAAATTAACAAAGGGCCGCCTACAGGTCAGCATTAAGACACACATTTAGACACATACACACACACACACACGCAGCCCCTACAAAATAGTTTTCTTTAATTACAAACTCTACAAATGACCATCAAATAAAATTTCAATTCTGAGCTTCAACAGACTCTAAAGAAAAAGTTTTCCCAATATTTTCCTTTCAGAATCTTATTCCATAGCTGAAAGCTAATAAGCCCTTTAAAAGGTTCAGAGATTTGCGCAGATTTCAAGTGTGATTCTCATCATGCTTTCATTTATCTGGCATGATCACAGAAAACAGGGATCTGAATAAATTAATTCCTAAATACCTGAAGTTAAACCTTTAAAGTGCCAAAAGACTTGATTGTATTCATTTCCTAAGAAAATATTTCTAAAACAATATGTTCTACTGTTAAAAAAAAAGTGGATTAAATATATTTTAACCTTTTCTTGATGATTCATTTTGTCATTATTAATATCAACTACTATACTTTCATAGAGTATACAGAGTGATATCACTGGGAACAGATGAGGTG